GATCGGGAACCCAAACGGTAAGAGCGCCAGCTGCATTTCCGGATTGAACGCCGGCAAGTGAATCTTCAAAAACTAAACAATTACTCATATGATTTGGAGTATCGGTGAATCTTGAAGCACATACATGATAAATCTGTGGATGAGGCTTTCCTTCAAATACTTCAGGATCATCAGATGATATTACAATGTGCTTAAAAAGCGAAAATAATTCAGGATAATGACTGGTTTTTTTATCATAGGCAAAACGTTTACTGCTTGTCGCCAGTGCAATAGGAATATCGTGCTGATGAAGATGCTCAATTAGACGTGCCGCTCCAGGTAACAAAGGAATTGGTTGATTAAAAATTTTTTCGCATTCTTCATCTAGATGATAGCGAAACTCTTGTCCACTTAGTGGAAGATTTTTTTCCTCAACAAACTTCTGAGCAACTTCTACCATGGGCTTACCCATTACTTTCACTACAAGAATAAAAAAAATTATTTTTTATGTTAAAAAAATTATTAGTTTTTAGCAAAAAAAAAATCAACTTACATTTATCTTCCCAGGTAAAATCCTTACCATAAGAATTGCAAATATTTTCAAATGCTTTAGTATAATACGTTTCAGTGTCCAATATCAGTCCATCCATATCGAACATACAATGAGTAATCATTGGCTTTCTTCTAATAAAATTTCGAATACTTTCTGACATTTTTTTTTTTATTAAGAGAAATCTTTATCTCTACCACAGGAAGTTGTGTCTATGTTTGTTTTCGTCTATTGTATGTTTTATTTATGAGTTTCAGAACAAAAGGAGCAAACGCGAAATGAATATTTTGAACATGTGCTTTGAAGTGATAACATTCACAATACTAAAGTTATGATCTTGACTATGGTTTGTGAAAGCAAACATTTCACAACATAACTTCAATACAGTTTTGTTCAACATCTCCAACAAGAAAAAAGAGAGCAAAAAGAAAAAGTATTCTTGAAAAGCAGGAAAAAAAAGCTTAAAAACTGAGTGTGCGCAAGAACAATTTTCATCACAAAGATCAAGTATTGAATCATGCATCAATTATCGAAATGTAAATAAATATTTGAGAGTAATTTATAATTATAAGTATTTAATAATTATTCAGGTGAATGTTTTAAAAAAATAAATTCAACTTTAAAATAGAATTGAATTTTAAAAAAAAAAACTAAATTTCATAATAAACTAATCAACAAAGGGAGGAAGACCGAAATGTTCTGGGTCAAAGTCTTGAAGTGAGTCAAGGGTAAGGTAAGGTTTGGCAAGTGTTTTATTCATACGACGATCAGGAATCCATACGGT